TAACTTCTAACTTTTAATTATTGTCTTTATTAAAAAAAAAAACAAAACTTGTACTTGGGCTTTTGGATTTAGTATTATCAAATCACGTTTAAATGTATTCTCATTTTTCGGATAACGATTTAAATTCGATTATTTGCAAAATTGTTCAAAAAAAAAATATTTCAATTAAACTCAATATGTTAAATGTTTATATCAACAAAAGGAGGGAAAATCTGAAAGTTCTTTTCCGTATTTGATCCCATTTTTTTAAAAAAAAAACCTTGGTTTCGTTGAAAATATTGCAAAATAAAAAGATGAAACCTAATTTTGAAGAGTGCGTGGAGGATCAAGTACGGTGTTGGATCAAAACATGCAAGTACCCATTATACTGTCTACATATTTAAATTATTCCTCTATTAGAGCCTCGAGTACCATTAAATAATTAATACTAGTATGTGGGAAACCAAGTCCGTGATTAGATAGATCCAAACGGCTCTTTATTCCTAACTTTCTTAATGTGACCCAGTAAACTAGATAACCCGAGTCAGATCTCGATTTGGTTTGATTATAGAAAGTCATTAATTTGTTTACATCTACGCACGTTGGTACCATCCTTCAGTATTAAAATGTGCAATCATATTTTTTTTAGAATTCAAATGTCTATGTACACTATTCTTTCTGGAAAAGAGAAAACATCCATTATTACTACGTAGATTTTATTAAAATACTTTATTTTATTCAAATTATATGTCGATATAAGAGAAAATTAATTACTCGTCATGTTTATGAATACTGATTGCAACAATTTACCCAATCATTGTGGTTGTTGATCTATTTCGTTGAAACCTTAGTAGAGGTACCAAAACCTTGGATTAATGGATTTTGTTGGAGGGTGACGTCCAATCTCTACCCTAAGGTACCACAACATTATGACATTAATGTTTTCCCCCTGCTCCTTGAGGACACTCTCCGTGCTTGCACTAAAATTGTGGTACAAAGATGAAATGAGTAGCGGCCCCCAGTAGTCTTGAATGAATAGAATGTAGAGAACGATGTGGTTCTCACATGATATTTATATATGTCCAACTTGCGAGATTTAATGCTTGCTACCTACTTGCACCAGATTTCTTAATAAAGATTGTATGTACCGCCAGTGATCTGAAGTAATTAGTATTGCCTGGTTTTGATGCTAGAGAGGTCACATGGTCCAAATGTCCCTGGCCCAGTTTTGCTTATTTGATGGGTTTAGGCAAATAGTTATGGGCCATGCACCCACCCACTCACCCACCCTGTGTGCAACCCAAATGAAGTGAAGTGAAGTGAAGTGAAGCAACCAAGCCTCCCAATAGGTCATTTTTGGGCTGTTGGCTTCTCATGTGACCAATTGTTAACGTTCTCAGTTCACTTGTTGATTATTAGGAGACCTAATCCATAAACATTGGTGTCGAAACACACAGAAAATGATTCACACACGATGTTTTCTTACAATGAAATTTTTATACGACTCGGTAGAACGTGTGAATCTATTGAATGAATCAACTCTGGTAAAACAGGCTAATTAATTTATGAAGAAAAAAGAGGAGAGTATATGCTAATACTAGTAATAGTAGGTAAGTAGGGTCGTAGTTAGGATGCACTTGAAAGACAATTGGAGAAGAGGGGCGGGACCCTTCACGTGGATTGGTTGGTCTTTCTCATAGAAGGAATATTATATTCATTCTCACCATATATGTATGTAGGGAATCAAAAGCTGTAACCTGTATGTTAGGGAATTAAAGGCTGATTAAAACATGCCAAGGCTTGATAAAGTGATGTCCTCAACCTGTTTCAGTGTATCTATTGACTTTGCCTTTGCCTTTTTCCTTTGAATGACTGAACATTGCAAATTGCTTGATTCCAGGCATAGAATATTACCACACTATGGAACTGGCAAAGGAAAGGGAAAATATATAATTTTATGTAGCATATGGAATTGCGTTGGTAGAGGGGATACTAAGCTTTTGGTGATTTCAGGCACCGCAATGGCAGCTCCTCGAACTCCGGTCTCTTACATGGAACATATGGATCTAGACTGAAACGAGGACAAGGCTGCGATGAATTGGTAATCAATATTCTTCTACATGTGAGACATATGGTCCTACATCCCACGCTTGCACGATACAAAAAAAAAAGTTTTAGAATTCGCTGATGACATGAATTGATTATGGGTGAGCTAGACTATATGTTGAAGAATGAGAAGAAACACCAAGAAGGGTACATACGTACTCTTATTGTATAAACGACCAAAATAAAACAAGAAAATAAAACAAAATTGGTAACTATTAACCATTAATTAACATGTTAAAACCACAAATTTAAATATTAAAATGGGTAGAAAAAAGCTTAAAAAAAAAGAGAGAGCAATTCCCTATTACTTAATCTAGCAATTATTAATGGGTTAAATATTTTAAATTATAAATAATAATGATTATTAGTTGTCAAATATCAACTATTAATTATTAATTATATCAAAAAATTAATTTAAACAGTCCTTTAGATGTACTAAAAAGAAGAACATAAGATAAAATATGCTGTCAAAATACCGCCGACAAAGAGCACCTTGTTAAACTTGGGCATCAACTGCTTTGCTTAATGAATATATAATAGTTTTTAACTCAGCTGGAATCACTCCTAGTTAGGTTTTTAATTACACTGTTAAATGGTTCCAATTGTCACATAAAAAAACAGATTCCTTGACCGGAATTTCGTACTATCAACGAATTAGAGAACTTTACTCTTTCTTAATTTCTTGCTTTACGCTCCATAACCTTGACTACTCATCCTTTAATTGTAAATGGAATATTAATTATTTGATTTGATTCCATATTAGCGTAGTTGAGATATTGATATATTCTTGAAGAAATTTGATTAATTCTTTTTCATTTTAGACGTGTTATAAACAAAAACTTTTATATATATATATATATATATTGAAAGGCAAATTAATATTTCTTTATTTTTGTAAGTATAAGGGGTGCTCTAAACTCATTACAACAAAAATCTTATCCTGCCATGCAAAAGAACCCACTCTTATAGAGTTACTTTCAGTAAGATGAAGAGAAAACTTATATGCTTGTTATAAATACTAATGATTTATTGGTTCAAATAAAAAATATATGGTTTTTTTAAATAAAGTTAAATTTGAGTTTTGCAAATAAATATACATATATTAAGAGAGTTTATTTCCTCGTAAAATTCGACACGTTTCGATTCTAAATTAATTAAGATTTAATATAATTTTTCAATATCGAAAGTTTTATATAATATATATGGTTGTTGTAAATAAAATTTATCATAAGAACATTGTTAACATGAGAAACGAGTTGTATATATTGTCACCTGTCTCTGATAGGTGGCATTAACAGCTATAATTTATCATAAAATATTTTGTTTTTTGTGGCAATAACCGGATCCCGTGGAGGAGGTGGTGGTGAGCTGAGGTCGAAGGTGAAGACTAGATAACCAGACCAACTGATGCCCTTTGTTTAGTTAAAGTTTGGTCTTGAAGGGAGTTTTTTTTAATATTATCAAAGGTTAGCTACTTTGTGTTGCAATAAATTTTTGATATTGCTTTCAAATGAAAGATTTTAATATAACAGATCTCAATTCGTCCAGTTCTTATTGATTTGAAATTGAAAGAAGGAAAATTAAATTCCTCTCTACTTCTTCTTCTTCTTCTTTTTCTTTTTGAAAATTGAAATATGCTTTTTCAGAAGGGTGTGGTATATTGCTTTTCATCATTGTAAATCACTGTTGCAAGAAAAGAAGGTTGCACAAATCTGACCTAACCTTTACGAAGGGCCAGAGGTTTCAGGTTAATGCCCTTTGGTGTAAAGGGCGACACTCAAATCATGGACATCACATCCCGTTGGTCCAATAAGACATGATTCTTTATCAAAAGAGATAAATTAGTCATCTCATTTCAATTGCTGAGCCAAAAAGACCCATTTCTCCCCCGATCTTGACCCAATTCATATTCTTTTCATCGAGAGTATCATGAAGGTTAAACCGTTTCTGAAATGCCAAACAAGCTTCAGGTACGTACGTGAAAAAGGCAGTGTCAAAAAATCCAAACACCATTATGATATATCACAAGAATCTACTTAAATTTGGACCCATCTCCTTCAGAGATGTCTCAAAATTTTGCATCAAAATATCCATGCTTTCTTTTCAGTGTCTTTTATTTTCAATCTGCATTTATTGGGATGCCATATATAATTGCCTGATTATGGAGAGGATGATTGCTTAGATTTGATTTCTCTTATTGCTTGAAATTAAGAGCTTTTTTCTTTTTGCTGAATAGAATTAAGAGTTTAGAGTTTACGTTCCTCTATTCCGTTTCTTAATCATGATTCTCACCAAATTTGATATTTTTTAGTCATATCTAACGATGAACCATTAGTATGAGATAATTTGATACCAGAATGCCATAGAGAATTTGAGAGATGGATCAATTGAATTAATACAGGTTTTGTTAGAGTTTACTCAGGCGAGAAGGGAGTAATGTAAACCATGTTATTGATAGAACATACATGTTAGAATCATTTTATTGTTATTTGGGTAAATAACAAATAGTTTATCT